GCTCCTGGCTGGGGAAGGGTGGTAGCATCCCCTGCAGAGCCACGTCCAGAGGCACAGCTCTGGCATGGCTGACTCTAGAGGGAGCTGGATGCTAGTGCTGAGCAGATGGCCAGCTTTTAGACCCCCAGGCCTCAGGCAAGGGATGCTAAGCCCAGGTGCGTGCCAGGCTTTTCTTACCTATCTCAAACACAAGGTTAGCCACCCCTTCCTTCTCCTCAGACTTCCCCACCTTCTCTGTCTCCTCAGGAGCTCTTTGCAGCACCAGATCTCACTGCTGTTGGTAGCCAGGTTTCCTTAGGAAGCCAGGCACATGAAATCACAGTTTTCATGTCTGTCTGTCTGTGCACATTGCTCTCCCCTCTTTCCAATTTCAGTTGAAATCACCAGGGGGATAGAGATAAGAGCAAAATCCAAGTTCCTCCAAGGTTCCTGGAAACAGCTGGAGAGATACCACTCACGACTGGCAAGGGAAAGCCCAGTCAGGGAGCTCAGCCCACAGTGGATGCCAGAGTATCAAGAACACAGCAGCCTGCAGCAGCCCCAAGTGCAGCCAGGATTTGCACAGCAGTGTGCACCGATGTCCAGGAGCTGGGAGCAGGAGCAGATCCTAGCACTCTGAGCTTGGACAGAGCTCCAGGTTGTTCCCCGTGCCAGTCACAAGGAGAGCCACTGTCACTTGCAGTGTCTATTACCAACCTGTTGGTTGGTGGTCCAATGATGCATGGATCTTGCGAGGCACTGGGCTTTATTTCAGGAACTAAGTTTCATTAGGATGCTGGAGAACAGGGGCTTTTTTCCCAGTGAGCAATCAGGACTGTAACCCCTCAAAGACCAGCAGAAACCCAAATTCTGTCCCAGATGCAATGCCAGAAAATCACAACCTTGAATGGCCTGAGCATATCAGGACACTACAAAAGGCAGAGAAGTGGCTGTGCCTATACAGCATCATTTAAGATGCTGTAGAGACTCCCAAGAGCAAGAGCATAAACCAAAGTTTGTGCCATGTCATGTGCAGCAGTGCCAGAAGAGAAGACGAGGTGCAGCCTGGCAGATACAGGACAGTGAATATTTAAGTTTCCAGAGCCATTCACAGCCAATAGATTACAAAAACCTTAGTGAAAGTGAGGGAAGGAGAAGCAAGTAAAGCTTCATCAGGTTAGAACTGTGCTACTCTGTGCTGGCACTCAGGGATGCTGGACACAGAGAGTACATCCAACCTCCTTAGATATCCTGAATACAATGCCTGGTAGAGAGAAAGCTTTGACCAACGTGGCTCCTCAGCACTGACTTAGGAGTTGATCATGTCAACAGAGCTGGTGGGGGCGTAAGAGGAGTCAGACAGCTTTCCTGGGATTTGGTGGGGGGGGTTCATGGCTTGGCTGGCAGGTGATGGTCCTATAAATGTTACATTATTTCGCTATTTGGCCTAAATGTTTATGCTGGACAAGGGGCAAAGCTGCAATTGAAGAATCAATCAGAAGAAAAAGGGGAAAAGGAACAGCTAATAGATGCTCCCAAAGGATCACAAGTGCCCTTCTTTGATGACAGCCACGTCCCCAGCCAAAGCCATATAGCACAGCTCTTTCTTTCCTGGATGCCACCATCACATCAATATGCAAGCGTCTCACCTTTCCTTTTCTAAACAAAAGTGTACCCATTCTCTTTGCAACGGTGACAAAAAGCACATGAATTCCTAGGCAACTGCCAGGGGAGCACACAGAAAACCTCAGCCTCTCTCAGCCTTCATTTCCATTGCCTGACTTGCGAATCTCCAACATCTGGGACTAGAGGAATGAACAGGTTCTTGCAAAGCACAAGCGAAAAGGAGCCCTGAAAGCACACGCTCGCACCCACACGCCTGTGACCTTGTGATTTTACTACAGTTTTCATTTTCAGACTCCAGTCTTCTCTAGTGCTTGCTGCATTTCTGCAACATTTTGGCAGTTTGCTCTCGCCTTGGAGACAGAGCAGAGTGTGGAGTTGTTTTGCATGGCTCGGCGGGGAGGGAAGCAACAAGGCTGTGAATAAAAAATTAAACTCAAGATGACGGAAGAGCCCCAGCCATGCTTCTACCTAGACAAAGCCTACGTGATGAGCGCTGCTTAATGCCAGCCCTTAATAACGCACGCTGCTCGAGACGAAAATGGGAATTTCGGCATGGCTGCAGGTGCCTCCGAGCATTCACCTCGGGAAGCGTTTCAAGGCAGGAAAAGCAGCCCTGCCTGGAGGCACGCACAGCCCCACCAGGCGGAGGCACCGCACCCCACCGCGCTCGGGGGAATATGTCTCAAAGACCCTGGGGAAGGAGATTTGCCTCAGCCCCCTGCCCGACCCTACCTGCCCGGCAATGCCCGGCTCTCGGGCTAGGGGTAAGGGACCCCCGCCCCAGCCGCTCCTCCCGTCGCGACATGTCGCGATTGGCCGCCGGGGGAGGGTGGCGAGCCCCTTCGCCTGCCTAGAGGTGCCGCGGCTGGGTTGTACAAAGCATCGCCGGGTATGTGCTGTGAGTGCGAGCATCCTACCCCCGCCTCCCCATCGGCTCCCGCACGGCCCCGGGTCCCCCGGGCCGACACCCCGCAGCCTCCGCAGGCGCTCGGACCGCGGTGCGGGGAGCAGCGTGAGGCTGGGCAGGGTCGGGGCGGGGGCCGGTCGGTGGCGGTCCTACCTGGCGGGGTGCAGGAGCGGGAGTCGCCGAGGCCGTCTCAGCAGCAGCAGCTGCGGCAGCGGGGCATCGCGGCGGGGCGGGCGGCGGAGCCCCGGTGCGAAGCTGCGGCGCAGCGGCGGGCGGGAGGAAGGGAGACAGAGAGAGAGGGAGGGAGGAAGGAATGGAGGGATGGATGGAGGGAGCGCGCGCGCACACACACACACACATACACACAGGCGCGCCCCGGGGATGCGCTCAGCCGGCCCGCCCCGCAGGCAACCTCCCCTCCCTCCGCATCCGTCCGCCGCGGTGCGCGGGCAGCCAGAGACACGCCGCCCCTCCTCCTGGGGAGCAGCTTCAGCCCTCCTCCTCCTCGTCCTCTCGCTGCTGGAAATATTTCCCGAATTCCTCCTCGGATCGAGGGACTTTGAAAGGCAGGGCTGGTTGCGGACCCACCCTCAGCAGCGCTGCCCTCCCTGCTTGGGGCAGTCCCCAGCTTTGCCCTGCCTGCTCCTAGCGCTGCCCGTCCTGCCCGGGACAGTCCCCATCCATGCCCTGCCTGCCTCCATCCCAGCCCAGCACAACCTACCCCACCCTGGCCGGTCAGCTCCTGCCCACGTCCCCCCCGGCCGACCTGCAGCCTGCCAGGGTGATCCTGAACCCATTTGCACCCTTCAGGAGGGGTGAAAGCCCTGGGAAAGATGGAGAGAAGGGAAGTGTGTGTGTGTGTGTGTGTGTGTGTGTGTGTGTTTACAAGGAGTGCCTTGCTGTGTCTGTCCCCGTGCCCCACAGTGTTGCCCATGGCAGCTGTGGGGAGGAAGGAAGTCAGGAGCATCCCAAGGGGCCCTGGGTTGACGTTCACACCCCCCCCCCCCCCCCCCCACCCAAACACATCCTCAAAGGGGTGGCAGGGGTCAGCAGGGGACATGGGGTGACAGGCAAAGAGCATATGGGTCAGCTAGGACCCTCCTGGGAGCAGACCTCACATCTATCAACTGGGTCAGCCCCTGAACCCACAGAGCCTCCTGTCCCCCCAGGAGAGTCAGCGTGCCCCGGGAGTCCTGCAGGAAGGCAGCAGCCTGGCACAGAAGGACTTCCTGCACCTCAGGCTGACCAAAGTGTCCTTCCTGTGGGCAATTCCCCTTTCACCATGCCTGAATGACTCCTCCACCCTTCGCTGGCTCCAGCAAGGAGCAGATGAACCCATTGTCCCACCCTCCAGGCAAAACTCTGTGACTTTAGAAACTTAAAATAGGACCAGAGCTAATAACTCACTCACTGGTGTTCAAGTACCCAGCGACCTTGACAAACCCTCTGTGCCCACGTCCTCAGGTGCAACAAGAACTGTGGGGAAGCAGAGACATTGTTTTAGCTCTTGCACCCTCTTACACCCTCTTATCTTGTCAGCTCTGCCTTTAATTTTGGTCACCACTGGCAAGAGAGCAACCCGGAATTTTACCATTTTACCTTGGAATTTAATTTGTGCTATTCTTACTTACTTTGAAAAAAATTTTTTTGGAAGATTTTTGCACCACTGTGTCCTTCAGCAGAGATGAAAAACTAAATTTCTCCATTCAACATGAGGGGTAAGATATGGACAATGTCACAAAACTCCTTTGTAAAGCACTTTGTGATAAGTTGACCAACCAAAAACCAAGCTACTTATAATTAGTGTTGCAGCAGTTATGGATATTATTTAGTTTTGGTCTCACTTTAAGAGCTTATTGCTGACATATGGAATGAAAGGCATTTCCATATAAGAATTTGGTTTAGAGGAAAACCATGATTTTGTGTCCAACAGTTAACTCAGATTTTCTGCCTCACCTATTTTGATTTAAAACTCTTTAGAGAAGGGATAAGTCTGCATCTGGCCATGTGTGGTACTTTGATGGTACTCAATTCTCCCAGCAGGGCCATTGATATCAAATGAGCACAGCTAAATGTGTACAGCATGCACAGTGCTGTGCTGGGCTCAGGAGCTGAGCTGAGCAGTGGATGTGTATTTGGTTTGGTAGTGGCTGCAGGATGCACGACACTGCACAAGCTGACATGGAAAAAGGATAATGCGAGCAGGAAAAACTGGCATGGTTGCAGCAAACACAATCCTTGCTGGTGCTTTTCACCCTGCACACTGAAATCTAATTACTGCACCACAAAGCAGTGGAACTCAAATTTTAGTCATGGAGTTCTCTCTAAAACTCCTTAATTCCCTCAGTAATGTTGCCGATCTACTTCCCAATTCTTTCAAAGATTACAGTACCCAACTCCTCTGGATCCCCAAGACTGTACTAATGGGCATCCACTGGTGAGCTACCCTCTGAAGAGCCATGCACGCCCACAGCTCCTCCAAACTCACCTCTCTCTGCAGCTTGAAATGTGTGTTCCTGTCTCCCAGTCCTACCTCCTGCTGAGACCCTCAGAAAGACTGCTTCAGCTACGGGATTTTTGTGACATTCCAGGGGAGCTGAAGAAAACAAAGTGTTTGTCAGTGTTTGTGGTGATGCTCATTAGTCCATGAACCCTTTGTATCCACCCAGCCCTAATGGCACTGGGACAGAAAAGGTGAAGCAGCACTATCCCATCTGAACACGAGAGCACCTTTCATTTGTCTGCTTCAAAAGAGACTGGCTAGGAAGAATATGAAGCTGGGAGGCTTGGAGAAGATGTACCCTACTCCCTGGTCCCTCACACACCCCTTTCCAGGCATATTTAGACCTTCATTTCTTGCAGTCTTCAAGAGAAAGGGAGCTGGGCTCTGAAGGAAAGGGTGGAAGTCAGGGAGTGGAAGAGACAGTGAGTCCAGTTGCTGAGAGGAGGTGCAGTGTTCCAGGACTGGTCTCCACTGCAGTGGCCATGGTTCAGAGTGCTTTTTCTCAGCCAAGCTAGCTGAAGTGGTGGCTGTGACAGAATGGAGCTCTGCATGGGCTGTGAAATCTGCTGGGTGAGCTGAGCAAACGCTCTTGCGCTCTGCCTGATGCTCTAAGCAAAAATGCAACAAGACTGCTCATGTCCTGACACAGCAAGTTTTGTCACAGTATGGGCACATCCATGCTTCAGCATTCCGGATTGCAGCCTGGACTGTGCTGGGAGAGGCAGCAGTTTGCTCCAGCTACTTCTATCTACCCGCCACTCTTTGCAGCCATGCAAGTGAACACCTACCACTGCAGCCATGCTTACAACCACTAATTACTCCTCTCAAAATCATGGAGATTCTCATGCCAATAATAGCGAATGGTTCATTCATTCCCTCATTCATTCATGCCCACCCACAGCTCTCTCCGACAGAAGCCTGCATCTCTCTGCAGTTGCTAGAGGAGATTTGGGTATTGTCTGCATGTGCAGAGCAAAAAAGCAATTCCTCCTGGCAAAGAATGGGGTTAATGGGCTGAGCACAGGACAGAATGGTGCAGGCCAATTCTCTGTCCAGCGCCTTGTGGAAAAAGACTGCTGCACAGTTTAGAGGAGGGGGATAAAAAGCCTCAGGCACTTCTTTTGGTTGAAAAGTTTCTGCCTTATATTCCCTGTAAGAGAGAAGAGGTCAGGGCAATACTCAGCTCAGCCAAAGCATGTACATCTCTGAGGAGCTGTCCTACCATCCTTTCTTGTCCATCTTTGGAACATCTCCTGAATGCTTTCGTCTCAGATGATGCTGGAGGATAACCGGTGAGCCTGCTTTGGCTGGCTATCTCTGGTCATGGTTTTCCTCGAGGCCCTCAGGAGATGCCAGAGAGGTCCTGCAGAAGCAGATGGGTTGTCACCTCTGCTTGCCATCCATCTGCCTTTGCTCCTTGCTGCAGCAGACTTGAGCATGCACTCCCTGAACATTCTCTGGCTCTCCTATGCATGCTCTTGGCAGAGACCTGGAGATCCCTGGAGAGTGGTGTTTCTAAAAAAGATGCTTAGAAACATCGTTTCCAGCAATTTGAGCACTTCCTTTCACTGACACCTTCAAACCAGCCTTTGCTGTTAGGAGGATAAATCAGACATTTAGAAATATGGCAGATGGAGTGGGACACATCAGTGAGTAGGAAGGGGGATTTTGTGTGCTGGACATCAATATATTTCTTTTTGAGCTCTCTAGGCAGTGCCTCCTTAACTGTTTCCAAGTACCTGGTACAGTCTGAGTCCTGATGATCCCATAGAGGTCTGATTACATCACAATTGTCCATCAGCCAGCCAAGAGGCTTGGATGTGAAAGGTGTCTTCTTCCCTGGAAAACTGAGAATACAGACTGTACCCCAGAGAGGAAGAAGGCAGTGTTGGAATATTTTGGCATACCTGTGAAAAAATGGGTAGCGTGTGATTTGCTGTCACTCCCCTTCTTTGAAAGCCTGTAGAGGTAAAAGGAAAAACCAAGCTTGTGCCACTTCTGAGACTCCCCCTGGATATTCGCTCTGTGCTGTGTTTTATGCATGTTTAAACAATAAATTCAGAACACTAATTCATGAGCATAACATTTAACAGCTTGGGAGAGAGCTTTCCTGGAAGAAGCATTGACTGGCCAAATTTTGCAGATTTTTTTTTTTTAATTTTTAAATTTGCTTATGTGTAACAGGCAACAAAAGTATACTTGCACTGGAAACCACCTGCTGCATGGGGACTGAAAGAAGGAGTAGTTAGAGGGGCTGGACTTGAATTTAGGAAGCTTGGAAATGGGGAGAGTTGCACATATTTTGCAAACATTTAGGCTGAAAAATAAGCCACGCGTTCTTCTCTTCAAATTCTCCTTTACAGTCGTACTTTTCTTCTTGGAAAAAAACCTGCTTTCTGGTCACCAGGCATGTACAGGAAAAATTCAATATATGCACAGAATGACTTCAGCAGCTGGGCTTATTGTGAGAGATGTACAAGGTGTAAACTGTCTTCTCACTCTTCTCAAAGGCGTAGAAACATAAAAGGCTTCTGGCAGCTGCCAATTGTCTCACCAGCAGTGCATGCTAATACCAGCATCTCACTTCTCAGGCTAAAACCAGCTCCTAGCTGGAGTCACTGAATCACTGGAAAATGAAGGACCAGATGTCCTCTGCTGAGCTGGCTGTCCCTTAACATCTTCTAGGAAAACCATGACACCAATGAAGCTTTGTTTTGCTGTTCCAAGTCTTCATATACAGGGACCCAAAATGCAGATACAAGGTTGACTGAAATGTGTTTCCCAGTGAAAGCCATAACCCAGTGACTCTGCTGCTTCCCTGCAGAGGGACATGAAAGTGTAGTGTGCCAGCCCTGGGGCAGCCCTGCTATCAAACAGGCACTATCACTCTCCAGCTGATACTCCAGCCCTCTTCTCTACAATTCCAAGGCCTGGAAAAATTTTGGTTGAAAAAAAAGAATCCCCCCAACCAAGTACAGAATTAAAAAGTAACAAATAACACATTCTCTGGATTTGTCTTCTGCTTTTGAGCCCTAGAGTTTGGTGCTTTCCAATTTACTTGGCAACCAGAAGCAAGTTAAAAAAACTAAGAGTGATGAAATAGTAATCACATGACTCCAGGAGCTGGGACTTCCAGAAAAACAGAAGTGCAAGTACCATGTGGCACTGTCTGGGAGCCATGTCCTGCAAACTAGGGACTGTGAAGCTTCCTCAGCAGTGGCCCTATTCCTCCTTTGATCCATGAGCAAGGTTCCCATAGTTACCAGTGGGAAGCACAAGGCAAATCAGATGTAGTGCATGGCTCTGGCTGTGGCCCCTGGTTGTGAAAGTAATTTGGCCTCCTCTCTGTCATCTGTTTGCCAGCCTTCAGCAAGGCTGCGTATTCCAGGAAAAATAGCCTTTTTTATTAGAAGTGAGATGTGACTGGCCTCAACTGCATGAAGCACCATATTTATATTTAATTTATGTATTCTAGATCAAGAAAGCTGGTGGAGCACCTTGCAAAAGCCAGGCCCATTAGATGAGAGGCTGTGCAATGATTTCTCCTAAAGGGAAATTTTCTTCAGTGTAGTGGGCTCTGATCTGCTGTCCTTGAAGGTCGTCAGAAATGTTCCCTGACTCCTTGCTGCTTTGACTTCCAACACCTGCCTCAGCTCTGCTTTGTTTCACCTCCAAGTGGCCTTGCCTGGTGAGGTGCCCTCCAGCATGGAAGAGCTCTGCCAGAGATGAGTCCTCGAGTCCTGTTCTCTCTGTCAATCAGTCAATTTCAGGCCACAACGACCCATGTGGCTGGAATATCTGTGCTCCTTGGTCTTCCCAAGGCATCTTGGAGGAATCTTGTGTCCTTGCTCCTGGTTGACTTCCCCCCCGGGACAACTGAGACAGCAGCAGGGTTCTTTTCCCAGTTTCCTTCCCCACAGCTTAGTCTGCTGGCCAAGGACTCACACTGGTGCACACACAGATCTTGCTGTCTGGGCACAGTGTGCTCTATTTCTTCTGTTTTCATCTGAAGAAGTATGAACCAAAAATGCTTATCCTCTCTGTGCTGCCTGCTCAAGCAGTACTGAGGCAGAAACCAATGCTGCATGCCCTAAACATAGGAACTGAAGCCTTGCATGTAAAGAGAATTTACCAAAAAAAAAAAAAAAAAAAAAAAGAGACAAGAAAGCCAGACATAACTTCCAGATTAATTAATGGTTATGAGTTTGAGGGTTTTGCTGGATACTTTGGAGATATGAAACTGCACAATTTGTAAGATTGGATTCTCCTTTCAAATTTCAATGCTGTCATGTGCTAGTGTGTTTCTCCCTTGGAATTTCAAACATGGCTTGTTTAAAAGCTGCTCTGAGCTGGATGTTTTTATCATGTCATTCTGGATTGTGATGATGCTTTAAAGTGTTTGAAGATGCTTGTTTGCCACCTGCCTCATGGTTAGAAATCCCCAATTCTCATAAGGAAATCTGCTCTTATGGGAAGCTGTACCCAGCCTCTCTGAAATATGTTTTGGTTCTGAGGCTGTAGAACCAGTTCACTAGTGTGTAGGCAGTTGTGTGTTTGGTAGAGCAGTGTCTTACAGGCCTGATGGGAATACAGGCTTTCCCTTTTCATTCAGCTCCCTTCCGCATGCACCCCAGTCACTCCAAAACTTTCTGAGTGACTTTCTCTGCACCTCAAGATACCAGTGTGGTATTTTGGTAATTGTGCCAGGGTTGCTAATAGTACCTGGATTTTATTTGCCATTGGTAGATTCCAGAGTTAACAGCTGTATTTATATGACCAATGGCATCAGGAAAGCAGGCAACAGATGCAGGAGAAATAAGAGAAGTGAGAGGTCTCGAAGACATAATTCAAGAGGAAACATTGCAGGAATGCAAACTGACAAGTCAAGAGGAAACATATCCTTGCACATCTGAAAGAGTAGATGCTTTCCATTCCTCCTATGACATGATAAGAAGTCAGGGGGTTAAACTATAGGCAGGGACACTGAAGTTTGGCACAAGGAAAAGCTTCCTATAGCCATGAGAGTAATGGTGCAGGCAGCTGGGTTGCCTGTAAAGAGGGAGAAGTATGCATTTCGTCACTGAAATGTTTTAAGATCAGGATGAGCAAATCTCAGATCAGGTGTAGGTGACCTAGTTCTCCAACATCATTTCACCAGAAAAATGTATCTGAGAGATGAACAATCAGGAGACAACTAGCACATTGCAAAGAGAAAACTGAGGTTGTGATTAGGCTGAAAGGAAAGAAGACATGCCTTTAGGCTTTGGATAAAAATTTGGTTTTGCAGAAGAGTCAGAACATTGGAAATTCGGCCATGCTGGGAGAGCATAGAGAAGTCTAGGTGACAAGACTATCTAATTTCACACAACCTGGAAGCATCCCGACCTTCATTCCAGGCTGGCAGCCAGTTTCCTGGGTGGATGAGCCATTTAGCTCATAGGACACCAAGGAAGAGAGCTGATTGCTGCTCTGAAGCCCATGGTATATACCGCTTGTGTTTTGTTCAGTCAAGGCTTGTTCCAGGCTCTTGTGGTTTAGTAATGGTATTCCCCAATTTAATACAGCCACTTGCTGCTCCCCCCTCCCAACTGGAGGCACAAAAGGCAAAGATCATGGGCCAAGAAGAGAACAATTTACTGGAAATAGTAGAGACATAAGAAAATGAATGGTAACAGCAACAATATTTGTTGTGGGTGGGGTAGTTGTTGAGATGGATGCAGGCAAAGAAGCAGGAAGGGCCTTTGTAGGTGTTTCATAGAGATGTTTATTTCAGCCATATGTGTGCACAGGTTCAGAGGCAAAGGCAAAGGGGCTGGTCTGAGGGTCCAGATTAACTACATGGGGATTTTGGGGCGGGGGAAGACATATTAGGGACCAATTACCAGGGGACATGGGGGTGACACAGGAATGGGGTTAGGGCATGTGGGCCAACAGGGAAACGGGGTGGGAGTGACCAAAAGGCTGACAGACAGGGAAAGGGCAGGGGGCTGACCCAAGGAACAGAACAGGGGTTGTCTTGGCCTGATAGAACAGGATTCATTATCAAGAGAAGACAGGTGAGAGAGGCCTCTTGTGTTCCCTAACTAGGGAGTGCCTTTCAGGGTCTCCACAAATACTAATTTCAAAAGTGTACAAAAGAGAGAGTGATTCACATGCCAATATGCTCACAAGAGAGCCATTTTTTGCACAGGTAGATAGTGATAGAACAATGCTAATTGTTTTAAACTAAAAGAGAAGCGATTTAGATTAGATGTTAATAAGAAATTATTTACTATGAGAGTGGTGAGGCGCTGGAACAGGTCGCCCAGAGAAGCTGTGGATGCCATATCCTTAGAAGCGTTTCTGACCAGGTTGGATGGGGCTTTGAGACAACTGGTCCTGTAGGAGGTGTCCAACCCCCACGGGGGTTGGAACTGGATGATCTTCAAGCTCCCTTCTAACCCAAACCATGCTGTGATTCTATGATTCTATGAAAACCCTGACATATGGCTGTCTAACAACATGAAATAAAGGTACGAGAAGCTACCAGAACCTGCAGATTGTAAGTAGGGGGTTGATGTACATGCAGCCAACCATGTCTGATCAGTAGCTACACTGACTAGACAGCAGCAGGAAAAATGGCAGGAAAGAGAAACATTGCTGATAACGAAGGTGAGGTACCAGCTTAATCACTGGGTTGTCTGGGGGAGAGGGACTGGATAAAAAAGCAGAACCTGGGAAGAAAAAAAGAGGCAAAACCAAAATATAAGGTAAAGCAAGTGACACAGTCAGGACTGATCTGGGGCCTTTGGTCAGCTGTGTGCTTAATTATGGCAGCATGACAAATGAGCAACACAGGTGTGAAGCT